CACAATGTTGTAACGTCATTCGTGCAAAAGAGAAGTCAGTTCTGTAATATATCAAAATGTTAGACGTATATTTAATTATATATAGTTAGCTATAGGCCAGTAGCTCCTACCAAAAGAAGATAGTGAACGCTATATTTTTACCACGACCGGAAATGTCTACCATACAATGTTGTAATGTCATACGTGCAAAAGAGAAGTCAGTTCTGCAATATATCAAAATGTTAGACGTATGTAATTAGCTATAGGCCCGCAGCTCCTTCCAAAAGAAATAAAGAGAACGCTACCGGAAACGTCTACAATGTTGTGGTCATACATGTACGTAAGAGAGAAGTCACTTCTGCAATATATCAAAATGTTCGACTTATAATTAGGCCCGTAGCTCCTTCCAAAAGAAAAGAGTGAACGCAGAAGCAATCTGAAACGACTTGGTGGACCTATGAATGATCTTTGTACAGGTGTCACTGAATGAATGGTCTAAACGTGACAAAGGCACCTTGGCACTGCTCTAACCATGTGCAAATAGTCACAAACAACCAGGCATCTGACAGCACAAGAAAACGCCCGAACTCAAGCGTAATTTCGAACCTAAAGGCGTCGTCCGAAATGTTCTGGGTGTTTCTATACAAGCCACTGTTTTTAGCGGGTGTTGAAAACAAAGCCTTCAGATGATGGATTGAGTAGGGGGGCAAACACTGAGACCAGACAACGAAAGAACGCAGGTGACACCTAAAAAGCATACCATTCACGTCAGCTAAGCAACAGGGGTCAGCCGAACTTACTAAATCAATTTTTAAAGCTCCAAAGTTAGAATTCATAACCACTTAAAGGGGCATATATACCTTCTTAGATATATTATACAAGCGCAGTGAATGAAAATTAACACTGCTTCGAACGCAATATCAGGACAAGTTTAACACCTGCTAGAAAATGATATTGACCTAAAACTAGTTCATCTGGTCGTTCTTTTCCTCCACTTTTGATTTTGTCGTCATGAATTATAGTCAGATTAAAAATGAATCATGAAAATGCATACCTTGTATAGTTCTTCACAATCTTGATCTGGGAAGACGAGAAATCTTTCTTCTTCCAGCGATCCCCGTCGTTCTAAGGTCGGCCTTGGCGGGCGGAGGAGGTTATTTGGCGAGATCCTTCTCGTCATGTCTTCCCAGTAAGACGCCCGATCCTCCTCCAAAACCTCTTCTACAATGGTATCCATCTTGGGCGGCAAGTTCACTGGCTTCTCAGCTCGGTGATTAAACGTTTCAAAGTCCGCTTGCTGTCATCGGTAGTTTGTAAATACCCCGCGGGTGTAGAAAGGCAGGGCGCCCGCAGACGTCTCTCTCTCTGGCGCGGGAAAAGTCGGAAATGGACACCTGAGTTATCTGATGACCTGTGCGCTCGCGTCAATGGTTAAACCATGACAGGACACGTTTGCACAAGTCGGTACGAAAGAAAACACCGGTCTACGGTCTAGCGCGAGCGGACAGTTTGAACATCTCAGCCCGCACAACCAACGACAGGTGACCGTGGTAGGAAGTACGGAGTAGTAAATACAGTTCTGACACAGTGCACGGGTCAGTGACTGGTCGGAAATCGTGTTTGATGTCACACAACAGTCAACCCCGCTGACGTATTAGTAGCTAGGCGAGTAGAATGAAAGTGTTGGATAAATAGAGAAGTTCCATCTATTTTTTCGCGTTGGTGAAACATACTCGCGTTTATATATAACCCCGTTTTGGTTCTGGCTAGACGAAAACATCAGCTATATTTGGCGTGGCCTCGATAGCCCCCCCCCCAAAAAAAGTTCGAATCAAAAATATGTCGCTGCTTATTCCATAGATATGTCAAAACTCAACATTTCATATGTTTGCGGTTTACTATACGTAGTAGGCTGGTACGTTGGAAATTCTAAATAGAAGCTACATATCACATGAAAGCATATGAAAACCTTGCTTTATTCATGATGTCGTAATGTTTATCTCAACTAACGTTACATTCTGACCCTGTATTTTGTTACTTCACATGATGATGACGTCTTCGATTTACGAAAAGACCACACAGAAGTAAAATCTTTCATCAACAAACTTGACTTTACATACTTTGCAAAAGCACCTGCTCTTAATTTCGCCTTTTTGGCATCAAATAATAATAATATGTAGTTTATTGTACATTATCATATTGCCAGAAGACGTCGACCAATCAGAAGGCTCCATTCCCCATTGGTTATCCGGCCGTACCGTAACCTCAAAAGTGGTCTGTTATTACAATAACCGACCACTTTTGGACCATACCATTATACTTGGGCCGGCAGGGTACTAACAGCATACTAGTAGTATCTATTAAAAACGTATAATACTGTAGTTTTATATAGAAATGAGAGGGATTCCCACTATACGTACATAAAAGATAAGTTCTTTAGACTTTTAGATGAACCGAAAAAATTCGTATTCCGTATGAAACTTGACAAACCATGTATCATTAACTCCATTTGTTCGTACATCTATGACTGCCTATGAAGCGAGAAGAAGTTGAAGCTGTAAATAGTACATCACATTAGTATGTATTGTTTAAGTAAGATATTACTGTAACTTTTTCTTGTTTATTCATGAACTGTACTTATAGCTTGTAAGAACACAAACGTACAATAAAGGTCTTTCATTATTATAATATCACAAATTCTTGGTTCATCTCAAATTTGTCCGACTTCAAAGGGTACTAGTAGATCTGATAGAAACGCAGCTCAACTCTGTAGACAAAGTTTTCTTTTTTACTCCATATTCACCACAAAACAAGGCTCATAAGAGCGACTCAAGTGTTTTGGGTTACTGTACTAGACAGTGAGGACAGATGTTTGTTGACCTTTGACTTGAAAAATTTAAGTGGTAGCTTACATTCCATAATCATGATGTTGTTCTAGGAAAGAAGCTTTCAGCGTGGAACTTCCTCCTAAGAGGTAGTGTATGGAGGAAGAGATTTGCTGCAGTGGAAGTGGCAAGACGTGTCCTTACTGAGAAAGTTCCAAGTGGAGGCACTAGCGAGTGAAGTTCCATGAAGCATTTGCCCAAAACAACTTATTCTAGCCTTGAAAACCTGTTTAGAAAACTTCCCGCACATTGACACACGGGCTAACGCTGTGACGTCATCTATTGATGGTTTTGAAGGTTTCTATTCAGGCAGAGTTGACCATGCGCGGAGACACAGGTAGTTACATACCAACATGGCGTCAAAACATGGCGGCAACAAAATCCGACACGGGCCGATTACACACAAAACGGTGTTTAGATAAAACAAGAGTCCACAGGACACAATCCTCATTGAAGTAATTAGGCCACAGCAAGTAAATTACATGGATGACATCCCCCACAAATCTAATGCGAGCGGACGAAAAAAAACAAGGCGGGCCTAAAAAAACAAGGTTCTTACATTTTAAAAATTTGACTCAATCATTGTACAGATGGTTTTGATTCAGTGGGAACATCACATATACACAGCCAGCATCACATATCACTGCATCAAAGTAAGAAAGAAAACATTAAATCAGAGCCTTGTCTTATCGCCTCTCTTTATAGTTATCTGCCATCCACCTTCCGGCATGGCAACAGACATCTTTGCCCATTTTCGGCATGTTAACCACTGTCAGAAGGCAACAAAATTTCTTGTTTTTTTTTTTCCAAAATCAGGCGAAAATTAATGGGCGCGCTGATGTCATCCATAGAAATTTCTTGCTGTGGCCTTATGGTGTTTGCGTTACTCTCCAAGCAGAGGTTGGGTTATATTTGGCGTGTTTTTAGGCCTTTTTTATCGGGGTTTCTCTTTTGCACTGGAATTTTGGGTTGGGTGAAAAATAAAAATTCCAGTGCAAAAGAGAAACCCCGATAAAAGAGCCTTAAAACACGCCAGAAATAACCCAAATCTCTGCTTAATATTGGAGTAGTTTGCGCTGTGATAAAGGCCTAGGAAAAATATGTTTCCTGTTTCAGTCCTGAAGAAAAAATAGGGTCGGTAGGTAGGGATTATCTTTTTTTTTTCTTTTTTAGACTTTGGCAATCTCTAAATAGTGATCCAACTTATACAATACAATTTAACAAAGCAATTGTAAAACTTGCATGGGGACAGTAAGTCTGATATCAATGTTGGAAAACCAATTTTACAATGTCTCAATCACTCAGGTGTCAGATCATGGAGCTACTGAAAAGGTCGATTAGCTCGAAACATTTATGTCCCTTGCGGAGGTCCACACACACAAAAAAGGCTAGAGTCGGCAGTTTTTCTAGGGTCGGTCAGGAAACACAATATTTTTCTTAGGCCTAATGTGTTTGTAAATGTATGATATGTCATAAAAGCGAAGTAGTCATAAAAGTGAAGTAGTCAGAGGTTTTCAATGAATTTGACCTCGAATGGATACATTTTTGGACCCTTTGTGGCTTTTTATGGTACTGATTCAGGCAAGGTACCTAAGTGGAATTTTTTTCAAATCGGAGGTCGAGGGTTTGACACTAGCTTCAGACTCCATGCATCCTTATGTTGTTTTTTCCTCAAAAAGGAATCTTTTATTATCTTTGCCAAGAAGGTTATGCTTCCTGGACCACAACTTATAAAAAAATACGTTGTTCCTATCTGGACTTATTGGTTTTTAAAGATTTCGCCAAAAAGTCTCCTGCAGTTCCAGAACAAGCTGCTAGGGGGACCAACCCCATGCCACTTATTCCTGACAGGAAAAGCTATCTGTCACCAAAAAGTCAAGACCATAGCATGTTCAGGACAAAAGATACAAAAACCGGAAGTTCTGCTGCAGTACCAAGGTCATCCACCAGGAGGCCCATATTCGACCTTGACCTTTGTCTTCCTAAGACTTATCAGCATACCAAATATCATCACAATCATAAAGGCGTTATGAAGTTATGCTGATTACAAATGTGCAGAAACACAAACACACACACAGACACACCAAAAACAATACCTACATTTTACATGGAGATAAAAACGACACTGCAGCCTTATACTGTTGAGACATTTTACTCCAGGACCTGTTTTTATGGTAAAGAAAGCCTCCATCCAATGCTGAGGTTTATCAGGCACTGAGCATTCAGTTGAGCCCAGTGCTATCATGGAGCATTGGCAGGGGCAGCTGAGAGTTCATGTCTCAGGCACATTCATTGGCCACTTAACCAGAGGCACCACATATCCGACCAATCAAACACATCCTTATTTACACATTAAAATCCATTGATTGGTTAAATGCATTGTAATATAGTTAACATTTGAAAGCTTGTTTGCATAGATTTTGCGAAGACCATTATACTGCAATTTCAATATTCAAAGAAAAACTTTGCAATGAAAGAACTAGAGAAGTAAAATTTGCAAAGCAAATGCATGTTTACCTTTGGACATGGTCTGCCCTGTTAATTTTTACTCAAACACATGTACTACATGTACTACGAGTAGTATATGGTGACAGGAGTAGAGCAGACCATGCAATTGCAACATTATGTAACCCAACACCAGTCACCATGGTGACAGACGTCAACAAATCATGTCATTGGCCAGGTCAGAGGTTAGTGTTAGGAACAGAAGAGGAAGAAACTGAGTAGAAACAATATGTTTTCCTTCCGTAAACATTTAAAAAATGTCAAAAATAGATTATCATATTTTCCAGAACAGATTGTGATCAGATTTATTTTGCTTAGTCACTGTCAGATTGCCTTATTGCTCATGGTGCATAGAAAGTCTTCAAACACATTGTAAGTTTGCCTATTGGGTACTGGCTGCAGTTCACAATTAACTTGCTAGAGGGCGACAATCTACAGTGCTGGGGTGCTCTGCCCAGCAGTCTATGGTAATCATGTAGATTTTTCCGTTCACATGGAGCTCTGACTGGCCCCGCCCTTTCCTGCTGGAAACTTCTCCACCACCTTCTGGAAACAGTAGACAAAGTTGCCGGGATCCTGGGCACCGGAGAAGGCTTGCCGACCATTCATGTAGAAAAATGGCACACCTGAAAATGAAGGAAAACACTTATTCACAAATGTTACCTTGTTTATATGGTTCTGTGTAAGTCAACCAAATCAAGTATTTCATTACACACAAAAAAAGTTTCATCAAGGTTTCCAAATTTCTATTTTTGACAGTTATTCTGCATAATATTAATACAACTAAGCTGAGTTTCTAGCACATCATTCTAAATATGTACTTAGTAGTTGCACAACTGCTATGATGTACTGTTCAATGTACATTTAGTATAATGCCACTGATCATTCCTAGCTCATTATCTGTACTAATCAAGGAGCATGTTTAATACAGAATGGAAGACTAGTCGCCTGTAGTGTTAAGTGCTACTTGCACAGCTGTGGGGCCCAAGGGCAATAGAAGCAAATATATGTGCTCCCTTGACCCTTATACATCATCATGGTGTGGGAAGGCCTTCATACCTTAATCTTCACTTTCACTAAGGCCACACTGACTTAATTTTATGGATGACATCCTCTGAAGACCCCCAAACTAGTGTGTGCGGGCGAATAAGAAAAATTCCAGACAAAAAAAAATGCTGCTAAACCACAGGAACACAAAGTTGGCATTGTGAATCTGTGGTAGTACATAGCAATTTTTACAACAATTCGTCATATCATGGCCTTTTGCTGCATTTATGAGTCGGCACTGTACTGAGTTCTTGAGTTCCGTGGAGCCTCGGCAGCCTGGGTGCCATCCTCCATAGTTGCCGCCGGCTCCCTATTGTCACTAGCTACCATGGACTACGCCGGATAGCACCCAGGCCAAAGCCTCGTCGGAGGTGATTCTTTTCTTTGAGAACAGGCGAAAATCAATGCACCCGTGGATGTCATCCATAAAATTAAATCAGTATGGCCTAACTCTGTTTTGATAATGAGATGCAAGTGACCTGTAACCCCATCCTTCATGTACTGCCCCGCCTTGTCCAAGACGGCTTTCTGGTTCTCCTGACTGGTGATGACTGGTTCTACCTCCTCCTGACTCATCCCCACTTCCTTAGCCAGCTCCACCAGGTTGTAACCAGACGGGTACATGCCATCCGTGAAATAGGCCTGGAGAAACAAAAAAATAGGATTGAGTTGAAACAGGAAAGCCCCTGACTCCCGGGACGCCACTGGGAATCGAACCCGGGCAGCCAGCTTATGACACTAGCACGCTAATGACTACTCCAAAAGGTACGGCGGACCCACTAGAATGGATCAGTAAGCAGCGCTTGAACCCCACTGTTACACTGGCAAAGAGGGTACAAAATACAGATTGCTCATCAAAAGTGTATGTCTCTAAACTGATCAGAGGAATAGGAATCCATTCTTCAAGAATTTTCCAAAAATCAGGACAGTTGTTTCTTAAGGAATTTTCCAATGATATTAAGACAGTTCTTTTTTCGTGACACTGTGCTACTAACTTAACTTGGGGATGGGTTTTCACAGTTTTGAGGACAAAAGGAACAATATCAAATGTATTGCTTATCAAAGTCAGAGTTGCTAATAGTTGGTACAGGGATCTAAAACATGGCTCCACTCCTAAGGCCTTGCCAAAAATCATCTTGTTCTGGTACAATCAAGAAGGTTATAAAATATTAACCTGCTTGCAATTGTTATAACTTATGGAAATTAAATAGATCTCATAGATCCTCTGACATAGATCCGATTGAAGAAACCTGTAGCTAGTAAAATGCTGTTTCAACAATTCAGATTTGCGTTCTCTAAATCCTTTTCTACTTTTCTCACCCTGAAGAGAACTTCTGCCAACTTGTCCTGAGTCTTCCCCCCATCCGGTACCTTCCCAGCATGCTCCAGGAGACAGTGTGCCTGGATGGTGTTGGGGAAACGAGGACACTTCCCGGTGAAGTCTATCCCCACCGCCTGGCCTGCTGCCTTCAGATGGTCACTCACCCTGGGCACAAATAACAGCATTTATTTTTGTTTGTTTGTTTGTTTAGGAACTCAATTAGTGTGAATTTCACAAGTTACTCTTCTTGGACTCTGTAGTGAATCATCAGATAGTACCGTAGTATTTGGACCATCGCACACTGGGGCATGCCCATACTCTTTTTTTGAAAGGTGTGGTGGGTTCTTTAACGTGCGTGGGGTGTGACTCTCGCCAAACACGGGACCTCCATTTAATGTCCTATCTGAGGGACGTCCCTAACCAAAGCTAGGCACTCATTTTCACCTGAGTGAAGTGAGGAATGTTGTATAATACTATGAAGTGCCTTTCCCAAGGGCACAAGATCAGTGAGAAGATAGGGTTCAAACCAGGGACCTCTTGGTTCCGAGCCGAACACGCTACCGCTACGCCACACGACCCGACTGAATGTTGTACATAAAATGTTCACAACAGGTTTCATGTATTTTTATGGTACAGTACTACTACAGAATTGTTCCAACCCAAAACCTAAGACCCAACAAAAACCTCCTTTCCTCGTCATCCTACTGTGAAATTAAGTCCCCGTGAAAATAAATGAATTTTACAGTAGGTATTTATGAGGAGGTTTAATATATACTCACCCCTTGTACTGAGAAGGTTTCTCCATCCCATCAGGAGGCATGTTGGGTCGTAAGAGGTAGGGCTGCCAGCTGACGTGGAAGGTGTACTTCTCCTTACACATCCGCATGGCTTCCTGCAACACAGAATATATTGGCTACAGTGTACTTTGGAAAATACAAGTAGAAGAAACAAACAAAAAAAAAAAACAGAGAACTTTTTTGTGTTGGATCAAAAGTTTTTAAATTTAAACAAACAAAAACAATATGTTAATTTAGAAAAAAAAAGATGGATGTATTGCAAACATTGAGAGACATATCGCCAAAAATATGTCAGAACTTTATTGCACGACAATTGTACATGGTACAAATTGTATGGCAAAAAAAAGGAACAAAGTAACTAGAAAGGTAACATTTGCAAAGCAATGCATAATGTTTTCCTTTGCATGTGGTAACATTCATATGTATGGTTAGACAGGAGTCTAAATCCCTCATGCTATAAAATTGCAACATGATGTAAACCAACACTAGTTTCCAAGGTAACAGACGGCTGGTTCAGGTCATTGACCTTAGCCTAATTTGTTTGGAGAAGAAGAAGAAACTGTGCAAAAACAATACTAGTATGTTTTCCTGCGGTAAACATTTATATGAACAAATGAACATAGCTTACAGAAAAAAAGAATATGATATTAGTAACTAAAACAACAACGGATAGCAAGTCTTTAATATAGTGTTACAATCGAGTGAAGCTAATAAATATGTATACATTTACATAAATATGTATACATTTGCATAAATATGTATGCATTGTGGTTACAAAGGAACGCCCCCAAAAACTTTGTCAAAGGTGAACTTCTATCTTGTACCTCTAGTTTCCTCTTGCCGACCCAACACCAGGGTCACATCACGTCGGAGACCACGTCTATGTTGATGAGGGGCTTCTCTCCCCCTCCGGACGCCATCGTGCCGCTCAACCTCCGCGGCAGCTGCACAACTCGGGCCCAAATAGTGCAGAACGTCCTACAACAAACTTGCAACTTTTTTTTTTTACCCCTGCAACACTTGTGACCCCACGTTGACCTTACATTATGGACTCTTCCACTCAAATATTTTCCAAAGAACAAAGATTCGTTCACGTTTGAAAGAAATATGATTGAATTAGATTATGAAAAAATATATGATTAATATACTTTTATTAAGAAATCGTTCTTTAAAACGCTGAAACTAACGTTGATTTTGCTCCAAGATTTCCTATAAAACCACCTGCGTGTGATATGGAATGATCCAAATTGCCCATAAGCCACCTGGCGGGATGGCTGACAGGTGCCACCGCAACGATGCGTAAAAAAGTTGATTGTCTTTTATTTAGGTTATCGACAAAATTGCGACCATTTCTTTCACTTTTGAACCAATTTGCACTGAAAAAGTATATTTTATGACGAGAAAAATTGCCATAATTCTCATATTTCCACAGACAGGGGAATTATGGAGGATATATAAACTTCAATCCGTTTTGGGGCGGTATAAAATTACCGTGCTTTGATTAAGAATCTGTATGCGTGGTTTGCGGATACCTATGTAGTATAAACAACTTGTACTTGTCAAAATGTGAACAATAAAAGTGCCTTATCTACCTGTATCGTTTATGTACAAAATATATAGTAGGGTACGTGTATTATGTGCCAATTCATGGAAAAAAAGTCGTCAAAATGGAATATATCGGTGCGCGTCTAAACCCCAACAGTACATCCACAGGAAAGATGGCGGCGTGTTTTTGCTGCTTCCGTTGCTGTTGGTCGTCTGCGGGCGGTTTCAACCACGTTCCGCTCAAAGAACTTCCCACAGTCCAACTGGACACTTCACACATGGGTAAGGGAACACCATAACACATTATCCGTGTCTGGTTCTGCGTATTTCCTACATAAGTGACTATCTGAAAGTTCGACCACGAAGATTTGAGTGACCCTCCCCCTTTTTTTCTGGCTCCAAGCAGGGCAAATTGTGAGGATGACATCATCGTTGGACTGTATTTTAGACACGCAATGTCGACATTTGCTGCAGATATTGTGTTCAAAAACTTGTATTCTTTAGCATTTATGTACTTAATACGTTGCCATGCATGAACGTCCTTCCTAGATTAGATTGATTGTAAATACTGTTAAATAGATTTTGCCATGCACATAGAAATTATATGCGTATTATATGCAGTTTTGCTTTCATGCACTTTTAGACCCGGGCACTGTGGTCAAGGCCATATGGGCCTCAGAGTTCAAAACAGTAAACAACACCATTTATCTGGTTTTGAAAATCAGTTGGTGTACAGTGTTCATGTTACCAGTAACTAATAAACAAGAGCAATAAATAAATGAATAAAACCCAGTGCATTCATTTTTTTCAGTCATTTTTGCATATGATGATGAATTATTTGAATTATATGTTCAAAAGGTCCAATATTTAGTACTCAGTTATCTTTGTACTGCAGGCACATAATATTTATTATGTAATTGTTAACCCTCACAGAAAGAAAACATTGTTTTTGCTCTGGTTCTTCTTCCTCTCCAAATATGGTCCAAAACAAATATGGTCAATAACCTGAACCAGATGTCTGTCACCATGGTAACTACATGTAGTGTTGGGGTACATCATGTTGCAATTGTATAACAGGAGGGATTTAGACTCCTATCACCATATATATGAATGAGGGTCTGCATGCCCTTTTTCGTTAACCGTTATGGGCTATTTTAATTTACCGTTAATCGTTGCCGGCCCGCTCTAATTTAACGTTAAGCGTTATCAGTATATTCCTCGTGAAGCGTTATTGGTCGTTTTAATTCAACGTAAAACGTTATTTGTCATCCTAAATTCAGCGTTAGGCGTTAATGAATAATTCTTCGTTACGCCTAATTTTGCCTTTCAAAGTGCAGGAAAATGCGTCATTGAAGGTTCAAAATACAAAATTTCCCGGGGGAGAATGCCCCCGGACCCCCCTACATTGCTCGCGCCTTTGGCGCTCGACTCGCGCTTCTGCGCTCGGTCCCTTCGGCTCTAGCCAGAACCAGCTTTCCTGTCAATTTCCGGAAGTTTGCGGAGAGTTACAGAATTTTTTTTAAAGAATCCGTCAACCTTGACAGGCAAATTAACAAAAATCTTGAGTAAAATATGAAAACATCAGAAGGACCGACAAACACTCTCAACACCATGATTTGTCTCTCAAAATGTGGGAAATTGCGTTTTTGAAGGCTTAAAAATCCTAAATTTCCGACGCTCCCCTCTCAAAATCCACTGAGCAGACTGAAAAAATGCAAGCTGGCTGACGTCGACTCGGACTCCCCTTTATTTGTGGACGCACTCGGGGACCAGGGCATGTGGGGAACACAGGGTACACATACCTTTAATGCGTGCTTCATTACATGTAAGGTATACGTAATTTTGTCAGTGATCACCTTTTCTCACAAAGCGAGATGCCAAATCCAGTGCAGCTCGAAAAAAAGTTTGTCAATTTACCGTTAATCGTTGCCGACCGTCCTGAATTTACCGTTAAGCGTTATCGGCCCTGCTGAATTCACCGTTAACCGTTGCCAGGACCCCCCCATGCAGACCCTCATGAATGTGTTTGAGTAAGAATTAACAGAGCAGACCATATGCGAAGATAAACATTAGGCATTTGCTTTGCAAATGTCACCTTTCTAGTTTTATTATGAATTACAAGGTAAAAGAACTCATGTTGAATGTTTGTTTTTCCAGGAACTGATGTTGTGATAGTGAAGAGTTGCAGGAGAATCTGTGGTACCGGTGCGGCCCTGGCTAACGCACCTATAGTCCAGAACAAAGCTTACTTTGAGATCAAGGTGCAGTCAACAGGTAAGCTCAAACTGGAACTTCATTGTAAGTTGTAATTACCTTCGCCAAGGTTATATTTTCATCAATTGGCGTTCGTGTGTCTGTGTGTGTAAACACGATAATTCAAGAAGGCCTCGATGGATTGTCTTGATACTTGGTAGGTGGGTAGGTCTTGATGAGATCTCAAAGTGATAAGATTTTGTGCCACCTGGCGGCTTGTCATGGCCAATGTCGGCTGATTTAAAAAAAAATTGTCAAGGTGCAACACATTTTCAACCAAAAATATGCCAAACAAATCACCAAAATTGGCCGACAATTTTCTGTATAAAGACATCAAGCTGCCAAAAGGGACAAAGTTGTCTGTTTTGAATCATTGACATTGTATTTATTATGATACGTTTGAATGTGTATGTTCCCAGGTATCTGGGGTGTTGGTCTGGCCACCAGGAAGAGTAACCTGAACTCTGTCCCCCTGGGGATGGATAAGGACAGCTGGGTACTGAGGTCAGACGGGACAGTGTTCCACGACGGAGAGATGATCCACAAACTCACCAACTATGTGGAGGAGGGCGACGTCATCGTGAGTTTTAACTTAGGCCACAGCAAGTAAATTTTATGGATGACATCCTCCGCAGACTCCAAATCTAATGCGAGCGGGCGGAAAAAAAACAAGGCGGATCGAAAAAAACAAGATTCCTACATTTTAAAATTTTGACTCAATCATTGTACAAATGGTTTTGATTTAGTGAACATCACATATACAAAGCCAGCATCACATATCACTGCATCAAAGTAAGAAACAAAACATTAAATCAGAGCCTTTTCTTGTCTCGTCTCTTCATAGTTATCTGTCATTCACGTTCCGACATGGCAAAAGACATTTGCCCATTTTCTGCATGTTGACCACTGTCGGAGGGAACAAAATTTCTTGTTGTTTTTGTCAAAATCAGGCGAAAATTAATGCGCACGCTGATGTCATCCATAAAAATTACTTGCTGTGGCCTTAGACCTAGAAAAAAAATGTTGTGTTTGCTGTTTCAGTCTTGAAAAAACTTATGGTCGGTAGGTAGGGATTGTCTTTTTTATGTTTACCGAAGGAAAACATTGTTTTTGCTCAGTTTCTTTCTCTTCTTCTCCAAACAAGTAAGATCAATGACCTCAACTAGACATCTGTCACCATGGTAACTGGTGTTGGGTTACATCATGTTGCAATTTTATTGAAGGAGGGATTTAGACTCCTGTCACCATATACATCAATGTGTTTGAGTAAGAATTAACAGAGCAGACCATATACGAAGGTAAGCATTATGCATTACCAATGTTGTCAATACCCTTTTTTCTCAATCTTGTCATATGTTCTTCAGGGTGTTACGTACGACCACATAGAGATGAACTTCTATAGGAATGGGACACAGTTACCCTGCACTGTCACTGGCATCAGAGGCACAGTCTTCCCTGTCTTCTATGGTGAGTCAAAGGTTTTCAGAAAAACTTCAGGAATTGAGAGCACGTACTGCACCTCTGCTAAACCCGTAATGTATTGTGCATAGCATTTTGGCACAATGTCTCATATAAGGTTGTATTCACATTTATAAGGTCAACATCCCATCTGTAGTTTCCAAATGTTATGTCGGAAAATATATCCTCCACAACAGGCAAAATTCTGATGCAACAGTGACGAAACATCCAAGGAAAACCGTGAAAAATCGTGCAGGTGCAGTATGTTCTGCTGACATTCTGGAATTGAGTACTGTAGATTTTGAAATGTTGGCAGTGGCTTTATTTTCCCTTTTTTTGTTGCAGTGAACTCTCCGTTGCAAATTCATAACACTGCAAACATGCATCTCCAATGTATTACTACTGTAATACACGACTTTACATTAACGTTGTCTTCTCCATGTGTTACCCCAGTTGATGAGAGTGCCATCTTAGACACACAGTTTTCCCAGTTCTACCACACGGCGCCAGAGGGCTTCGAGGGAATTATGTTTGAGCAGTCTCTTCTCTGAGGAAGAGTCCGAGTCCTTTTTATATTTGTACGATGTAGAGTACGGGACAACCACAAAGATTCTTCACAGTTCGCACTGCAATATGTTTGTTTCAATGACAGCAAAATGTGTTCATTTAGCAACTCATGAACCTAAATTTCTTATTCAAGATTGCATGTAGAATTCTGTTTACCAGTACCGGTATTTGGGATATGAAAGATTTTACTGGCTAGTCATTGAAATTAGCAGCTCTATAAAAAGATGTGTGTAATTCCTAATTGAAGATCATCATTATGCAGTGTTTCTCTATAAGCAAGCACACATGCTTAGGCCTAGGAAAAAAATGTTGTGTTTCCTGTTTCCCAACTGACGCTAGAAAAAAACTGCCGACCCTAGCCTTTTTTTGGATAAACATTTATGTCCCGGACATAAATATTTTGATCTCACACCTGAGTGACGAAATGTTGCAGATTTCCAACATTGACATTGAAAGTGTCCTCATGCAAGTTTTACTTTGTTAAACTGTATTGTATAAGTTGGATCACTATATAGAGATCGCCAAAGTCTAAAAAAAGGGGGGGAAAAGATAATCCCTACCTGCTGACCCTAATTTTTTCAGAACTGAAACAGGAAACACAACTTTTTTTTCCCGAGGCCTTAAAAAGGCTTGCCAGTAACATAGCACTAGTGTGCATCTATGTGATTGTGAACAACTAAACTTAGCCTGTTGAATGCTGCAAAAGTCATGGAATTACTGGAAATCTTAATTGAACTTAAACATAAAGCCAAAGGATGCAACACTGCATGTTTTCTTCTGAACGTAAGTCATACCAATTTAATTTCTTGGTTAACAGATTTTTCTAGAAAACTAATGGAGCGGGCGGGCGAAAAAAAAAATAAAACAGGCCTAGGCATCCTATTATGGCCCAAAATGGTACAATAGGAGCCATGAAGTCAACACACCAGGCTGGTTCAAAATTTAAACAATGAATTTTGCACTTTTAATGATACCATTGCATTGAAAGATGGACAACTGTAACAACTAGGAAGAAAAGGACTGTTTTCAACTGTACAGGGCAAAATATGAGCATTTTGAAGTTCATTCTGAATTTTTTTTTTTTTTTTTGCAAATCAGAAAAAAATGTGAATCTGGCGAATCTGTTAACCAAGAAATAAAATTGGTGTAGCCTAAGTCATAATGTTGTACTAACATTTAACAAAGCAAGCTGGTGTACAAATAATGAAAATAGAGTAATACAAGAGACCCTCTAGGAAAAAATGATGTACAGTTAGTATAGCTAGAATATTTTTGAAAGTTAGTCAGTAAAGGAATAAGAAGTAGATGTAATATTAGTAATCTTAGAATAACTTTAAAATTATGCTTTGTAGTAGGGCTATATTTACATATTGGGCTGAGTCAGGGAATTGGTATTGACATTTGTTGCCTTGTATAATGATAAGTTTGTATTTTTTTCATAAGGGAACATAGTTTTGCCATATTATAATTGCTGTCAACTATTTGATTTGATAATGGACCTATACCATTATTACGTCACAGTTTGTTTACCGCAATGAATGACGGTCAATCGATGTTTATATTGTACAGGGGTGCGTAGCGCGGTGTGTGTTTGTGTAGTGTTAGCCTAATATAAGGCTTTAATACAGTACTACTTTCGTCTAATGTCACAACTAAATCAGCCATGCGGCATGTAATGCTGTGTCAACACAACTAGACGCAGCAAAAATCAGACATACCTTACTTAAGTTTGAAAACTTTGAAATGATCTTTATTCTTTAACTGACCGTTCTAGAATGTTCTTTAGAACAGGTAAACAAACTGTGACGTAATAATGGTATAGGTCCATTGTAAGGCTAGGTGTCGGTTGTATTATATACAATGCCATAATTATAGTGTATCAGAGGCTTCCTTGAAATTATGTATAAAGCTGTTATTTATATAATAGTTTTGGATAAGTCTGCGAGATGGGAAAGTTATCACGTTGACAGAATTAATTTTGATACTTGAATGCATGATAAAGAACAAGAGATGTAATTGTATGAGTTCAGATTTTGTACATGGTGTGTTTTAAGTTGTGGGTTAAGGTTCTGGATACATTTAATGTAGAGATAGCAATGATGTCATTAGAGTCTATCTTCTTTGCTGTAAATCTGCAGAAAGTTGCAAGAGAATATAAAAACATGGAACATGCCCGGTAGCCTTCATTCTGGTACTAGCTGTGTGACATTTGATAAGCAAGTTATGGAATGATCCAAAAGTATGTTAGGGTATCTGCAGTTTTTCTATGGATGATAATTTGTGTATAAACTGTCTAAATATGCAGTGATTTTTTTTCAAGGGTTAAAAAAAAGAGTAACAACACAGAAGGCCCCATTCAGATCAGTACCCATTTGAAGCAGTGTAGAAAATCCTTCATTTCATGTTCTTAATTTAAAGTTTTTTTTTTACATATTCTGGCGACCTACAATCAGATTAAAGTAAAGGGATTGAAAGATTTGTTTCATAGTTCTACAAGTTTTGTTAAGCCCATTTTGTTATCATTGTACTTTTTAGTGCAATTATATATCACTGGATCCATAGATATAACGTGAAGAATATATGTTATACAGAAATGTGTGTAGTTGAAGGGGTCAGATTGCTAACACTGTCACAATACATATAACAATATGTTGCTCGCACTGACAATTCTACTATGCAGAACAATATTATTTCTGGTATGATATAGAAAGTGACTGAGATGTTTAAATATTTACAAAGTGCTTAACGGCCGAATGTCACTAACAGCTGTGTAAATAGCACTGAATGTAACATCTTACATGTAGGAATTGAACTATTAGGCCATGTTGATTTGATTATATGGATGACATCCTCTGGGAACCCCAAAACTGACGCGAGCATGCGATTAAAAAAAAGTTTGGCCCCCCCAAAATTTCCTTCATTATGAAATCTACATGTATGTGGTCATAAAGGTTGAACAAATGTCTACACACACAGAGTATGGTATGCCAAATAATGATACTCTTCATTTACATTTCTTCACATTTTCTTCTTTTGCTGAATTGATTTCGGCATTCTATGACATTTTTGTTTTCCAATACTTTTTGTTGCAACATACGACATATATTCGCTAATTAATTTTGTATGATTTACAGTATGGGAACGTTTTTTTTTTGGCAACGGATGAAAATTCATGCGTGGCCAGATGTCATCCATATAATCAAATCAACATGGCTTTACCCGTATTACACAATGCTTTCATGTGATGGTGGCTGTTATACATGTCAGTTTATTAAAAATCTATACTAAGGAATGGTCAAGAGCAGCATTTGCTGAACTTTCAGCAAAATGAAAATTTTTACTGCAAAACGTTGCATATTGTTTTCATGTACACATATCACCGCATTGCTGAACATAATTTTAATCCATACATATGCCATTGTACAGCTTAAATTTGTAATTGCCATACTATTCATTAAGTCCTGGGTTATTACCTCCGGGTAGGGATGTATATCCCGAGCGCGGAGGTTTTGTGAGGGAAGACGAAAATTGCGTTCGCACCCGTTTCTCGCGTTTGGGTGGACGGATATGTCTGGGACTTGGTATACGTTTTGCTGTTGGGCTGTAGATGGTGCACGTTGTTTTGGTTTTTTAGTATGTGTGTTTTAGTGCGTGAAAATGATGCGTTTAGACCGCCGATGGACACCCCTTTCAGTGTTGGTCGGGCCTCAGCTTTTGACCTTTGCATGTATAATCACCATTGAGGTCGCGACCACTGATCTGACCTTTCACACAGAGGGGTGTCAGCATTCTTTGAAACTGTTCAGATGTGAACCACATGTGCCGTCAATCAACGTCTCGTGCCTGGTGGGATCGCGCGGGTCGCAGCCAGCGAACTTCCGGGTGGGCCAATGGGTCAGGGGTCAACGCCCTCTTGCGCAATTTCGGATGTTTTCGGCTTAAATACCGTGGTATACTGTCTCAGACGTTCTCGGGACTCGGTGTATCTTCTGTTAATGGGCTGTAGATGGTGCAGGTTTTTTTGTTTTATTGTATATGTGTTTTGGGGCGTAAGATTATTTGTATTTCCTTTTCGTGTCTCGGACACCCGTTACTGTGTTTGTTTACATTATCGCTGGTCGCTGAGGGTCGGGCAGCCAGATTCGCCACGGGATGCCTCCTGTCCTTTCTATTTTTGGGCTCCAGTCGGCTAGGGGGGATTAGTGATTTCACACATCATTTAGCCAATTACAAACATTTCGAAACTTTTCGAAAAAAATGGTATTCGCGCGAATTCACTAGTTAATTCAAAGAACAGTCCCAACATGCACCCAACATTCTGCAACATACATTACAATACCCGGAGGTACAAAATCTACGATTTTCCTTGTTCTATTCTAAAACTTAAGGGGGTATAGGAAGGTAAAATTTTACCTTCCGCTTTTCTTTTCTTGTCCCTCCTATTCATTTGTTCTTCAAAACCCACCTATAATATATTTTCTTAAATCTTGAAAACCTGAACTTTTCGAATAGAATAGCCCCGCTTTTTTAAGGAATGTGAAATATTCTTTATAATATTATAATGTAAGTAGCTTTTGTATTTCATTGTGAAGCCCATGTAATCGGTGTGTTACTCAAGCATACAAACGAACAGTACAGACCTGTGTCGTGTGGCATAATTGTGACATTGTCACTACCAAAAGGACACTGCATCAATGCTTTTCTTTTGTTAGAAACGCTTAAGTTATCACAAGTGCACTGAAAACTTTTTAAGTTATATTCATACTGCTATTCAAAGGCTGATATGTAACAGTATAATAATAGAAATGTTTAAACCTACACATGTAGCATACCAAGCATGAGGTGGCCAATTGAAAATGTTAAACGAAGAAGATTCAACAATATTGAGGAAATGGCTTTTGGCATTCCTCACTAAACTAGTCAACATCAACTAAAATAGAAGTTGTAGAACTGATTTGATTGACATTAGGTCACAGCAATAATTTTTATGGATGATATCAGTGTGCGCATTACTTTTAGGCTGATTTTTGGAGAAAAAAATTGTTGCCCTCTGACAGTGGTGTGAGTTGTTTCAGTGAGAAATGGATGTTGCAATACTTGGCATTAGATTTGGAGCCTGCGGAGGATGTCATCCATAAAATTTACTTGCTGTGGCTTTAGAACAGTTTCAAAACAATACAACGTTAATTTTGAACGCTAATGTTTCCGGCCGCGGCCTCTGCTGATGTTGACTTTGGAAGCATCTTTCTTGTCCAAAGACGCGCGGGAACTTGGGCGGGATTTTTCGGGCGTTTTCTTGTGTGTGGATTTCTCCGGTGCCAAAGTATCCGGCGATGCCAAAGACACTTTCTTTTTGTGATGTCTTTCTTCCTCCAAGACTCTTTGTCGTTCCTTCTCTTTCTCCCTGCGTTCGTTCTCTTTTTTGAGCTCCTCTTGCCTCTGATGTTCGAGCTGTTGGAGATGAAGTGTCATCTTTTTGTAGAGTTCTGGGACTGAGTCAGCGCCGCCCTCGATCAAGGGAACGACGTCACGGTACGAACCGTCCGGCCCTCGCTCGATGTTGACAAGGATGTAGACATTCCTGTGATTGTTCAACACACAAATTAAAGGAAAACTTTTTTTAAGTTAAAACTTTTGGTCCAACACAAGAAATTCTGTCACCTAGAGCTTTTGACCAGTCACTCTGGTCTTCCTCAGTAGACTGACCCAGTGAGGCTTGTCACGTGGCTTCATTGAAGTGTGACGTCAACACTGGGTCAAAGGTATCTGGTAGACGATGTCGACCCCCGTCGCGGTTCAATGAAGCCACGTGACAAGCTTCACTGGGTCAGTCTACTGAGGAAGACCAGAGGGACTGGTCGAAAGCTTTAGTGGAGAGAATTTCTTGTGTTGGACCAACTTTAAACATGTAACTACCAACACAGATGAACTTTCATGATAATAAAGGAAACTTATTTCACTAGAAAGGTAACATTTGCAAAGCAAATGCATAATGTTTACCTTCACACAGGCATATACGCAACATACTATAGCTCTGCTTATTCTCTACTCAAGCACATTCATACATGTATATATGGTGACCAGCCCCTCCAACTGCCAAAGCCCCTTCAACTTGCTACATAATGTGATTCAACACCACAGGCTATCTGCTAGACTGCCCCTCTAACTGTCAAAGCCCATTCAACTTGCTACATAATGTAATCAAACACCATAGGGTGTCTGCTACTAGTAGTGCTAGACTTCTACAGCACGTTACCAAGGTGACATCCGTCTGGTCCAGGTCATTGACCTTTTTGTTTGGAGAAGAAAGAAGAAACCTGAGTAAAAACAATATGCTTTCCTACTGTGAACGTACACATAATAAGTGATTGAAGTAAAAACTGAAATAATTTCTCGGGACAGGAAATAAAAAGCAATTTCTTAAAGCGACGAACGAATGGGGGTATTTGGAACCGATATTATACCTAAGAACGAAACACATGAAACAATCAACCCATGAAAATATCGACAGAAATATTTGGTCGATTTCATTAAAAAATCTGCTAATTTCATGAATAGATTTTTGATTTAGGTTGACAGCAATATGATGTTAGCTACTGCTTCTTTGTTCAAGTTTAGTGGGGAAGGCCTCGAATTGACAAATTTGGTCTCTGCCTTCCTATGCTTTCTTCTTTCTATTAGGTTTTATTATTTATTTATATTCAAAATAAAGAATACACCATATTCATACACAATACACTAGTACTGCACCATATTCTTTGCGTGACAGTTTTGCAGTTCTGGATTACCAAAAAGAAACTCTATAAATAATTGATATTTATCAATAAAGATCAAAAGATCATCACCTGTCGTTGAAGAGCCTTGCGGCGTTAGCGCGGCGCGGGTAGCGGGAAAGACCGCGGGTTTCCCCGTTCTGGTCCACCAGGTCCAGCCCGCTCTCGTTCGGGTAACCACACTTCTCCTGCATGTGCCGCACCAGGTTCACCACCATACAGTCAGGGTTGAACAGGGTACTCTCCCCATCCCCGTATTTAGCAACGATATACATAATATCTGTTGGGAGAATATCACAGACGTATATCGTTTCAAGAAGCGTGTACTGGTGGAGGTGACGCAATATACCAAGGTCATAGACAAGATGTCTGCCGGTGTTCGAATGAAATGATGTCATAAAGGGGAGAAAGGCGTTCGTTCGAACACGCGTTCCTTGGTATCCTCCGTAGCAGGCTTATAGAACTGGGGGTTTGGTAGTCTTCGGCTGTTTTCTGATTAGCCCAGTTCTAGCAACGGGGGTAATTCAACCAGCCCGGCTATGCTGTCTATATGCAATCAGAAAATAGCACATAAAAGATCCCAAAGACCCCCCAACCCCCAGTTTTTGGCATGCTGTGGAGGCTAGTTCCTTGGCAACTTGTCAGCAAGTGCTTGTACTGAGTGTTGGTTTGATGACTTTGTTGTGAAATGTGAAGACGTTCACACCCAAGCGGAAGTCTTGTGTACTCTCCAAGCAGAGGTTTTGGGTTATTTTTGGCGTGTTTTTATACTTTTTTATCGGGGTTTCTTTTTTTGCACTAGAATTTTTCTTTTCACGGTTGGGTCAAAGAAAAAAATGCAAAAAAGAAACCCCGATATAAAAGTCTAAAAACACTCCAAAAATAACCCAAACCTCTGCTTGGAGAGTAAGTCTTGTGCAGTTTCTAAAGATGAAGAACTCAAGTATTTTCCTTTTCCGTCGATGACATTTTACGTGAATCAAGTGATCTTATTACCGGGCTGATCAGATCATTTATACGCCCTTGAAGATGGTAACGTGGCAATTTTGTTCTGACCCGCGCCTTGTGCCTGAATGACTCGCAAATCTTTCTCATTTGGTAGGGGATGACTTAATAGTTAGCCTCCACCAGGCCTATTCCGCAGGAATAGTGATCGTAGAATTCGGCAAAAAAGAGAGTAAAATTGGCCAAGGGAGTCCGGCCGTGGGGAGGTAGTTTCTTTCCCTCCGAACAGCGCGGCCAGTCAAACCTACAAGGCGGCCAAAATCCCCTGGCAAATATTCTCCTATATATAGCCAGCGTAGTTAGTCTGGTAGAGACTACTTAATAGTGACTGAATGCCATAGTAGGTGACGTCATAAATTCGTGAGATTGTCGCCATCTTTGATCTAAACAAAGACTTATCCCCATTGCTGACCAATGACCATGCCCTGTCCTTGGTGCTGAACTACACCTTCCATGTGAAAAACTATGACAACAAGCTTTTTTGAACTTTTGAACCTTCAGAATAAATTGAGTGTGTGAGTAAAGCTTTGGACGGAATAACCTGGTCTCCAGTCTACTGTGGCAGGCCCTCTTTAGCAGTAGGAGCTCTCCACCCTCTAGTTCACCAGCCACCCCATAGGAAGGGTAATTAACTCTAAGGCCAAGGGGAAATAACATAATACATGTATTATAAATAGTAAGTGTAAGGCCACACCAATTTAATTTCTTGGTTAACAGATTTTTCTACAAAAATAATGGAGCGGGCGGGCGAAAAAATAAAAACAGGCCTAGGCATCCTATTATGGCCCAAAATGGTATGAGAGGAGCCATGAAGTCAACACACCAGGCCGGTTACAAATTTAAACAATGAATTATTTTTTTTTGAACTTTTAATGATACCATTGCATTGAAAGATGGAATAACTGTAAAAACTAGGAAGAAAAGGACTGTTTTCAACTGTTCAGGGCAAAATATGAGAATTTTCCAGTTGATTCTGAAATTTTATTTTCAAATCAGAAAAAAATGAAGCGGGCGAATCTGTTAACCAAGAAATTAAATTGATGTGGCCTAACCGAATAAAACAAACATTTCATGATTTACATATGTATGAACAAATAATGTGCCCAAGCTGGATTGTCCTTTTCAGCTACACCTTTTATTTTATCTTATACATGACTTATGGCAATGATTCTATATACATCTTATGTTGGGTCATGATACAAATGTTCAAATATATGGCAAATCACTGAAGGTGATACAGTAGTTATTACTGGTAAGTAGTGAAGGTGATTACTGTTGTTTGAACAGCACTACATGTTGTGACAAACCAAATTGATCTAGTATATTAGTACAGGTTTTGGAGTTAAATACTGTAAGTGTGGTCATTAGTAGCCTAGTAACTATCTCATGTAGCCTGGTAGCCTCACAGCACAAAAGGAAAGGACATTTTAGCTGTGTTTAAAGTTCATTTTGTACTCATTTTTGTGAGGAATACAAAAAACACACTATCAAAATACTGAGATTATAAACTTTCTTCCCAGCTACAGTACATGTTAAGTGTATAAAATACTGTAAATCACTATATATTTACTGTAGCAAAATTTCACGTTCTGAGAAAATGGACATATTCATGGAACTATATGTTTGCAATGGTGGCAGGTGCAGAAGAAGGAAAATCGGCAAATTATTTGTTCACGGTAAAGATAAATTCGCAGCATAGAAGTAACCACAGAAGTAACATGCTAGTCCAGTGGTCAGCGATCCTGCCTCTGGACTAAGAGGTTAGGAGTTTGAATCCTGGCTGTTGTCGCTCACCCGACATGCATGCTACTGTAAAGGGTCACAGTCCTTCGTTAAGCTGTGGTCCACTGTTCATTGCGCTTGTGGAAAAGAGCTAGGGGAATTTCCCCGGTACAATGAACCTGTAAATACTGTACATAGCGTCTGTCTTCTCTGTCACAACCAGTGGAAGATTAGCTCTGCAATGAGCTAAAACTGGTTCAAGATCACTTTCACTACTAAAACTGCAAATGTAAAAGTACCGCAAATATGAAGTGATTTACAGTAGCTAGATACAAAATGGTTTGACCATGTTGAGTTATAACACAGTAGACAACGGTGGGAAGGCATTTTGTTTGCTGACCACCAGTTTCTGGTGCTGGTGGGAGATGTACCCTTTAATGTGGCCCTGTGGAAAAAAAGGGAAAAAATCCAAAAGTTAGGATCATTGGCAATGTGTTCCTGTAAGGATAGGTCACGCTAATTTAATGTAATCTCTGGGTTCTCAAGATATGCCTGTTCTATTTTCTACAACAGAATGGTAGAACACTGTCCTTGGAATGTGTTATTAAAATAAGTTTGTAACAATGGTCTATTTTCAATAATCTTGGTCACACAAATTTGACGTTTCGGCTTACATTCAATGCCTGAGGATGTACAATGATAAAGATGAAAACCAATAAATCTGTAGCTCTTACGTTGCTACAATTTGATGTTTTACACCATACAACAATTTTTATAACAGTAAGCTAAGTTGTACTGACCATGTAGATGAGGTTAGCCACTATACATGAGGCCTCATCTAGATCCACATCTGACACCTGAAATCACAAACAAACAAACAAACAAACAATGAACAACTTAGGTATTTCATATTGATCAACAACAAAAATCACTAGAAGAGCAGATCTGATCTACGTGGGAATTCAATGTTTCATTTTTTGAAAATAAAAAGATATTTAAAGATAGAAAGACAGTAAAAACTCACCCCCATGGTCCTTAGAGCCACCACAAAGGCATCCAGTGGAAGCTGGTGAGTATTTAACAGTAGGTACCTACAGTATGGGAGTAAAACATTAATGCTTTGAAGTTTGAGAGAATTTTCATAGCATACAGTTCCAAACAAGTGTTTTGTAGATAAATCTTGTAGATAAAAAGCCATTTGTTGACCAACATTAAGGTTGGGATCTTAATGAATTGAAAGAACAAAAAATGATTTGAGCTAAGGCCACAGCAAGTAATTTTTATGGATGACATCAGCACGCACATTAATTTTAGCCTGATTTTGGAAAAAATTTTGAAATTTTGTTGCCTTCTGACAGTGTCGAATATGGGCAAAGATGTCTGTTGCCATGTCGGAAGGTGGATGACAGGTAACTATGAAGAGAGGAGACAAGAAAAGACTCTGATTCAATGTTTTGTTTCTTACTTTGAAGCAGTGATATGTGATGTTGGCTGTGTATATGTGATGTTCCTGGTGAATCAAAACCATTTGTACAATGATTGAGTCAAAATTTTAGAATGTGGGAACCTTGTTTTTTTGGGCCCGTCTGGTTTTTTTTGCTCGCTCACATTAGATTTGGGTCTGAGGAGGATGTCATCCATAAAATTTACTTGCTGTGGCCTAATCATTCACAGAGGCTTGCTTGCTGCACATGTAGATGTAAGGTATCAAAGTAAAAATCTCACACAGGTAGTCAAAGCACAGAATACAAGAAAACTATGCTTTCAAGTCTAACTTACACTTTCTTGAACAAGTTCCTGTAAGTGATGATCTTGAGTTTCTCCAGAATGAGGAAGATGCCACAGCGGATGAAGAAAGCCTCATGTCTGGCCATGGCATCGTTCAGCTGGAGTAAGTTACCAGTACTGTAACCACAGTAAGGGAACAAGCATGGTATTTACTGTACAACTTGATTAAACATAGGTATTCATGTTTGTTACACATAACTGGTAAACCGCCCTTAGGCGTAACACACAAGAACCGATTCCGAACTTATTAAAAAAAACATGTCAATACCCCTTTTCTTTCCAAACCACCTAAAACCTTCCATAGATTGCAAAATCTGTGCTGCTAAATGAAGAAAACATTGCCATCGGGCATCATCAAGTACTGGCCTCCATGTTATGTGGCCACAGTTTTGCCAATACAACACTGCAAGGTTGCCAACATGCAATTTTGTATATGCCATGGGTTTAGGTCCGGACCTACATGTACAAGTCCAGAACTGAAGCTAAACCTCTGGACTTGAATCCGGACCTGAACCTAAATGTGGGTTTAGGTACACAGCACTATCTACCGATATACAGTACCTGGCAGCTTTGGCCACTTCTGCAAACTGTGTGAGATCATACTTCTGTAGGAGTGACATTGACGGCATGTGGCCCTATGTGGAAAACACAAACGTTAAGGCATGAAAAAAAAAGATTTTGATATAAGATAGAAAGCATAAATTGAAATTTCTATACTGATACTATACTGGGGGGGAGGCTTTCACAAAATTTCCGGAAAAAGATTCCAAGAGGAAATGCTTTCAAGCCAAACAGGATTATTTCACAGCATAGGGGTCAGGTACAGAAGGACAAGTTTCATGACGCAAGTCGGGCATTGAGCCGAAAATATTGATATGGAAAAATTCATAACTCCCAGAGACACTATTTCTCACTTTTTGAGGGACAGATTTTATGAAGTTAAAGGTTTTCCCTTTGATATAGCTTAGTTCTAAAGTTATATTTTTATTTTTTTGTGATATGTATGAAAAAAAAAAACACCCCTTTGCTGGTTGAAAGATAGCATATAGAGGCGGTTATACCGATACAGATATCACAGCATAGGGGGTCCAAATCACAGCATAGGGGGTCCAAATCACAGCATAGGGGGTCCAAATCACAGCATAGGGGGTCCAAATCACAGCATAGGGGGTCCAAATCACAGCATAGGGGGTCCAAATCACAGCATAGGGGTCGCTGTGCTCAAAAGGCTGTGCCGAGAACACTGCCAAGCCAACAACCTTTTCTTACCAGACCATCAGTCAGTTGGCATTCTAAGTCATACTTAGTATGGCCTGTGATAAGGGGGCACACCCCAGTTTATTTTGGGTCTCAATTCGATTCTACAAACCCTCAACTCTAGCGACCGTCTCTTTCAGGAAATACCTCTTAAGCCAAAACACTGTGTTTGCAAATGAAGGATAACGCTCTAGCTACGAGAACAATAGAATTTCAATTTCTTTCACCCCTCAGATTTTAGTAAATTTTAGGGGAAAAAGAATTTTTCGATGAAAAATGATGCCAAAAATTGGCCATTTTCACGTGGAGTTAGACATTTCGCAGCAAATTATGAGAAATGTAAACTCAAACATGAACCACCGGAACCCCTTCGTCACTTTTTTCCCGGGCACTACCTCGGACCCCTGTCGCAGAAAAATTGGTGTATGCACCGTTAAGGATGTAGAATAAAACTCAGACTGACTTACCAGTAACATTTTGACAGGCAGCAGGTAGATGAGGATAAAACGTTTGTTCTTGCGACAGGCTCGGTGGCAGTGGTCAAACGCATACGTCAAGTATTCTTCAGCTGAAAACAAAACAAAACATTCTTTATTACTACAACAAGACCATTTTGACTCCCAATTTGACCTTCCTGTCAGTCTGCAGTTACACCCGACCATTTGCCCTGAACATCAAGTACGATTACTATGAACATCTACTACTTCCATAAAGGAAATAACTTCATACAGAACTTTACTTCATAATCCAGGCCTCGAAATTAACTTTTCTTCCTATTGTCCCAGCTCTGTCCTGAATCTGTTTTTCGGGAACTATATACGACTTCAGCTTGAAGTCAACTTTATTTTGATTCCGTTCAGACTAACAGAGTAGACAGAAAATTTGGGGTGACTTTTTTTAAGCCGAAAGCTGGGACGTGTGCCTGATAAACAAAAGGCTGACATTCTAGATCTGATATTGATTATTTTTCTTTTGTCCCAAAAATGTCCCAGTGTCTTTTTAGTTGTCCTGGCCTAAATTCTAGTGGTCAGTGGCCATTGGGACAATGTTAATTTTGAGCCCTGATAATCTATATATTTTCCTTGATATTATTAGTGAATCTTAGACTGTACCTTGCTTGAACTCCCCATCAAACATAGCTTTCCTTCCAACATAATATCTGAAGAAGGAAAAAAAAACAGTGCACAAACATGTTATTTCCTGAAAAGGGAACCAAATTCAAAACATCTGGACATACAAACAGAATCGCCTGTGTCTAATTCCTGAAGATCTATGTATAACCCATTTAACTTGATTACAAGTATAACACATCTTTAAACAGAAGTAAAATATTGTAGCTAGAAGGGTAACATTTGCAAAGCAAATATTGTTTACCTTCAGTTATGGTCTGCTCTGTTAATTCTCACTCAAAAACATTTATATACATGTATATGGTCAAATATATATGGTCAGACAGGAGTCTAAATCCCTCCTGCTATAAAATTACAACATGATGTAACCCAACTCTAGTTACCATGGTGACAGATGTCTGGTTCAGGTCATTGACCTTGTTGGTTTGGAGGAGAAGAAGAAGAAACAGCAAGAGCAAAACAATGTTTTTCTTCAGTAAACATAATAAAATCATCAACAACATATCTACATAATAATTGCCTATATTCACCTGTAGGTAACAAGTTGTGCCTTTGTGAAGTCATCCTTAAGGTTGGAACTGTCTATAGCTCTGATCAGGGGCTTACACAAGTGATGCTTGTTGATCTAAAACAAAGATAATTTCTTGTGAGAATATTATGATTTCAATAACAATTGATTAAATGAGTAACCTCTTCTCTTATGAAATAGAATTGATTTAATGACATATTTCTAAGAACATTTGGGGTGATTAAAAACACATGTTGCTTGATTTGCTTTCTTTTCTTTAGCCACATGTAGTACTAGTGTACACAAGAACAGTAAATGACAACCAGTGATTTTGTATGTTTTAAATTATGTGAATGGTTTCATTGTCCCAGAATAGATGAACTGAATATGTTGAGTGTATGTATCTTTGATGTCAAGTTAATGTTTCCATGCAATATTTCTGTATTTCTTTTTTTTTTCAAGCAAGTACAAAATAAAGTACAACTAAAGCAAAAGAACAACAAATTATTGAACTAAGAGTAAGACATGTAAATATAAAAGGGGGTTACCTTTGCAAATGTATGTATTCATATGTTTCAGAATAAAGACATCACTGTTGGTACTCAAAGCATGTGTCCCTTTTTTTTGGGGGGGGGGTCAACTAACCGGCTGTTTCTCTATAGTGGTCACCTGGCCATAGTGGTCAAATTTGGCCAGTCCCTTGAGTGACTACTATAGGCAGGTTTGACTGTAGTAGGTATACATGTATGTCTACCTTGAAGTATATTTTGAAGAGTTGGTTGACAATGTTGAGCATTCCCCACTTCTTGGACACATCAAGATCTGATCGGCTGTAAAAAAAAATATCAGTCAAAAATTAGAACCACACTTTTCTTCTAAATCATTGAAAAAGAGCAGTTTTCCTTGCATTGGGTAAAAGGTTAAACATACCGGTAGATAGTGCTGTGTAACTAAACCCACATTTAGGTTCAGGTCTGGATTCAAGTCCAGAGGTTTAGGTTCAGTTCCGGACTCGTAAGTCCAGACCTAAACCCATGGCATATACAAAATTGCATGTTGTCAACCTTGCAATGTTGTACATGTATGAGCAAAACTGTGGCCACATAACATGGAGGCCAACACTTGACAATGCCTGATGGCAATGTTTTCTTCATTTTGCAGCACAGATTTTGCAATCTGTGGAAGGTTTTAGGTGTTTGGGAAGAAAAGGGGTATGTGACATGTTTTTTTTTGTAATAAGTCTGGAATCGCCTCTTGACTTATAGGTTTTTTTTACTTGAACCTAAACATTTTTACAAGTCCAGAACCGGTACACAGCACTATTTCTAACACTGTAATTTTGAATAGAGCACAACAGTGTAACCCTACCTGTCACTGGCACACACCCTGAAACAGCCCATCAGGACGTCAGCAGCCTTCTCCAGTGTCTCCCCAGGTTTCCCCTTCCCTTTTCTCACCAGCTGTACATCTGCACTCAGCGCAAACAGTCTCAGGTCCAGGGCTACAGTATACATCACTGGGAGGGCCCTGTAGAAGGGAGATGTAAGATGTTATGTATGTAAAGGTCTGTTGTAAGCTGGTTGTATCTACGGTCTCAGGTCCAGGGCTACAGTGTACATCACTGGGAGGGCCCTGTA